CGAGTGTGTACCCATCAAGATCTCAACCGACTTGTCGCAGTGCGGAAGCAGCTCCAAATCCTGTGGAAGCAACGAAGTGTGCGTCTCGGGCCAGTGTATCAGCAACCTGGTCCACCAATCCAACGTTCCTAGGGTCGCGTGCGGTGCTGGGTCTGGAGGTCCTGGAGCACGTATTCCAGGCGCAAATGAGGATACAGACACACAGTCGGACAATGGTGGCACTTCCTCTGAAGGAAGCGGCAGTTCTGGCAACAATGATTCGAATGGCAATGGCTCAGGAGATGATACCGGTGGCCAAGAAGGAGCATCTTCTGATGGGAATGGATCATCAGGCCAAGAAAATAATGCATCTGGCAATGGAGATGCACAGTCGTCAGATGGTTCAGACGGTGGAGACGCCTCTAGCGATGGCGCCTCACCGGGAGGAAATGGTGGAACCTCAGCTCGGCCAGGGGGAACCTCGGGTGATGCTGGGCGAGAGGGAGGCGACTCAGCTTCTGGAGGTGAAGACGACACAGGCGATTCTTCCGGAAGTGCTTCTCCGTCTGGCTCAGATTCTGGCTCAGGAAATGGAGATGGGCAAGCAGACAAAGATGGATCCAATCAAAATGGCACTGACGGAGCATCGCCGGACCAGAATGGAGGAGATACCGGCTCCGGGTCACCAGATTCAACTTGTGACCCAGCCTGCACTGGCAACACCGTCTGCATCAACAACCAATGCGCTTCGGTTCAGGACCCGTCATCTTGTGGCACCACCCCCAGCCGCCTCCTACATCTTCTGCGGAGACAAGCGACATCAACCTGTCAGCCAGGGTTTGCCTGCATCAATAACGGTTGTGTACCTGCGGATGGACCTGTCAACTGCGGCGCATCAGGCGTCAATTGTCCAATCAATTACGCTTGTATACAAGATTCCTGTGTGGCTCTCGGTGACCCAACGTCTTGCGGCGGTGAGACTTGCAGCAGCGATGAAGTCTGTATTGGCAACATCTGCACACAAAGTCCTGGTCTAGCTAGCTGCAATGGAGTCGCTTGCCCGACTGGTGAGACTTGCCAAGATGGAGCTTGCGTTCCCATCGATAGCACTGGCTCTGGTTCAAACGGAGGTGCAGGAACCCAAGGGAGCGGTTCAAATAATGGAAGCGATGATGGATCTTCCTCTTCAAGTGGTGGCAACGGGAACGGTGACAGCACAGGCGGGGAAGGACAGAGCAGCGGAGGTTCCTCTGATGGGGACTCTTCTGGCGACGGCTCTTCTGACGGTGGGTCACAGACTGGCAGTACACAAGGACAAGGCTCTGGAGGTGATGATCCAGGAGATTTTGGCTCAGGATCTGGCTCTGGCAGCGGCTCTGACTCTGGAAATGGCTCCGGGTCCGGGTCAGGCTCCAGTAGTGGCTCTTCTGGCGGCTCAAATGACAGTGGGAGCTCAGAATCTGGAACGAGTCCAGGAAACGGAAATGGCTCGGACAACGGATCCAATTCGGGATCAGATTCACCCTCAGACAGTGGTTCAGGATCTGGATCTCAGGGGGGTAATGGATCAGGATCGAACGGTGGAGATGGCGACAGTAGTGGCCCCGGATCAGAACCCAGCTCTGGCTCATCATCAAACAATGGTTCAAATGGCAGTGGCTTAGATTCGACAGCAACACGTCAACCAGCACTTACGGCCAGACCACAGGGCAACGTTCCTGGTGGTAGTGATCCTGATACCGACAATACCTCTGGTGTTGCTAATACAGGATCAAATGGCAGACAGACTTCTAGTACACAAGCCGGGATCCGTCCAAGCCAAACTGGAAGCCAAGGAAATGGCTCTGGAAGTGACGGATCTGGAGGCGACAATGGGTCCACCAATCGGTCGCAATCAGCCTCCTCCGCGAATCAGACTGGGGGTACAGAGGGAGGTGGTACAGGCGGCGGCGGCGACGCTGCTTCGAGCGAACCCGTGTCTAATGGTGGCTTAGAAGCAACATCAGGAGCTTCTGTATCTGGAGACTCTTCGACTTCAGGAGTAATTGGATCGGGAGCTACAGGCTCAACGGGCCTGACGTCGCCAACTTCTGTCCTATCTGATGGAGCGCCAATCGTCAACCCCGGCCCAGAGTCAACGGAATCGTCTGTAAGATTGGTGACATCGACTTCCAGGCAGGTTGGAAGCCCTGAAGGAAACCCCACGGGGGGTGGAGATGGCGACCCATCACCAACAGATAGCAGTGGTGGTGGTGGTAACAACACAGGGACTCAAGGGTCACAAGGATCGGGTAGCCTGTCGACGAACAACGGGGGCCCATCAGCTACAGGCGGTAACGGAGGCACCACTGGGACCGCAACTCAGGGCCCAGGCACCTCAAATACTGTTGGCAATCAGTCTAGCTCTCGAAGTTCAGCTGGATCCGGTACAGGGGATGGACAACCTTCAAACACTGGCGGTAGCTCCAACGCTGGGGCTCAGACAAGTGCAAGTGGCACCCAACCTTCAACGACTAATTCACAGGGAACCGACCCAAGCCAAGGGGATGGAACTACTAGCTCTTCCAACGGTCAGCCAACTGGTGGACAATCTACATCTGTCACGACCACAGGACAGGGCTCGTCGCCCACTGATGGATCTCCCTGCTCGGATGACAGTGACTGTGCCGTCGACACTGAGCTATGCATTTCCGGAGGACTCAACATCTGTATTTGTGTGAATGCAGTATGTGTTCAGAGCACCGAACCGGGTGATACCTCCACTACAGGAGTTGCAAGTTCGACTGCGGCTTCTGGAACCCAGGGCACTAATCCTTCAACACCGACAGAGAGTGGCGGAAGTACACAGTGTACTGATGACGATGACTGCTTAGCTGACGTCTCGTTGTGCTTGAGCGGCTCCCTCAATGTTTGTACTTGCGTCAACGCAGTCTGTGTTAGAGACACGACGACGGGTGGTGGTTCGCAAGTCTCAAGCACGGCTTCTGGTAATACTCCAGGGTCTGGCGGCGGCGCATCAGGACCTACAACAACTGATGAGTCGGCTAGACAGACAGGATCGGCATGTTCTACCAGCGACGACTGCGTGGCCGACGTAGCATTATGCCTGGTCGGTGGGCTCAACTTGTGTGTCTGTGTAGATGCTGTATGTCAACTCGGCCCAGACTCGAATAATGGTGGAGGAGGCGATGATGGCCCAACTCCCACAACCGGAGCACCAGCAGCACAAACATCAGTACCATGCGCAAATGCTGAAGATTGTACAGCTACTCTCGGGTTGTCTGTCTTGGGAATCTACGTCTGTGTGGACCTCATTTGCCAGCTTCAGCCAACAGCTAATCCTACGGATGGAGCTACTACAGCCTCGCAAACAGGTTCAATCCCCACTATCACTGAGCCTATCGATTGCTCCACAGATCAAGACTGCGTGGCGGCGTTGGGAGCTAGCGCGTTAGGAATTTTCGCGTGCATAGACCTCTTATGTGAGCAGACGGCGACAGCTTCTGCAGCTGGTGCCTCAGCGACTCAGCCTGCCGCTTCTGTGCAAGGAACTGACGTGGAGTGCTCGACGGACCAAGACTGTGTGGCTGCCATTGGAGCTGGGGCTCTTGGTATCTTTGCATGTGTCAATCTTCTTTGCCAGCGGACAGCAACAGCTAGCGTTGCGACGAGAGCAACTGACACTGGGGTCTCTGCTTCGGGGTCTACAACAGATGTTGAGTGTGATACAGATCAAGACTGTGTCGCCGCTCTCGGTGCCCAGGTGCTGGGATTATTTATCTGTGTCAACGCTCTCTGCCAAGAGACTACCTCAGCTACAGACGCTGGAGCTTCGACAACTCAGCCGCCTTCTTCGGTCGCCAGCGATATCGAGTGCTCGACAAACCAAGATTGTGTCGCAGCAATTGGCGAGAATGCTTTGGGGATCTTTGCTTGTATAGATCTGATATGTCAACAGACTGCAAACCCGAGCAGCGGCTTTGTCACTGTCACATCGGACAGTACACCAGCCCCAACCAGCTCGGAAACACCGTGCTCTGATGACAGCGACTGTACGGCCGCAGGCCAGACATGCGCCGCAGACGGTTTCTGCAGGACATCGTCCCCTGGTACTGGCAACGGAGGCGCCTCATCTTGTTCCGATACTGTCGACTGCCTCCTATCTCTGCAACCTCTTTGCGCCCTTGGCCTTTGCGTTTGCGTGAATGCGGTTTGCAGTCCTCCGTCGGATGTCGACGCATGTACGACAAACGTACAGTGTAGCGCTGGACAAACTTGCCAGCAAGAAGTCTGCGTTGACGATGTCACTTGCTCCACAGAAGATGACTGCGTAGCAAACCTCAACTTGTGTACGTCCTTGGGAATCTGTGCCTGTGTCAATGGGCTGTGCACTCTATAACACAGCCCTGGCTCCTTTCTTCTATTTATGTAACGGAATGTTTTAATTATAGGCTATAATTGGTGTTCTTACTGAATTTCGCATTTCCATTGCTTCGATTTCTTGTACTTTACGAAACAGGATGGTTGAGGACGGAACAGCTGTATAACAATTTGTCGTTTTATGTCAAATAATACCCCCATGCAACACTTTCGCTTGACGTATATAACATTTTATCATAATAATACCACGTCTTTATTCCACTTCCCAATGAGATTTGCTATTCCGCAATGGTATGTTTCCCATGACAATGTCGCGAAACTCCCTACAGATCAATGAACCCTAGCATGAGCGAGGGTCTATTTCACAAACAATGACCCCGAATACAAGGAGCGAAGTTCTTTTGACCATAATGATCTCATCACTTGTCCTTGCCTGCCAAAAAGCTTCTCCCTCTGACTGTCTCTAGCATCACCACGCATACCTCATGACTGACCGCCGTCAACGAGCCCCTCCACTAACCCGAGCCGATAAATAGGGTAAGCGTCGGGTCAGAGAAACCGCGGTTCCTCTGATGTAGCTAAAGGAAGTATTGAGATGAGAATGACCCAAAGTGAATTGAGTCTCTATCAGCTACCTGGGCTTAATCTAGGGTCTCGGCCGTGAACGAATATAATTGATCCCAATTCGCCAAGTCGTCTATTACAGTATCACCGCATAACTCTACAGGCATCAGTCGGTTATATCCCCTTTCGGCGTCCTCTTTCCGTCCATAGAGGTTAGCAACGGTTACTACTGCAACAAACACCGCCCAACGGTCATTGCTAACCAATGTACAAGACTGATCTGAAGAGTATCGCCAGCAGGGTAGGTCAACGTTTTCGAGAGTCGGTTTGGATGCTTCCCATGCCTCCCATGCCTCCCATGCCGCCGAGTCCAGGATGGATGTTCTTGGGTTGAACAAGGTACCATCACGGTAAGTGAATAAGTCCAGTAAGATCGTTTCATAGATCAAGGTGACAAGGAATTTCTTGATCTCGGATCCGGGTGCCTCGGGCTGGCTATCCAACGGGACGGGCAACCCCCTAATGCCTTTGTAGTAACACGCGGCACTGTCGATCTTTCGGAAGCTGTTGGTGAGCTTGATGACGGCTGATAGGCTCTGATCCCATTCCTGAAAAGGGTTCGGAGTGTCAGGTCTGAATAGGGGATTTAGAAACGTTGAAAGTTCATTCCCAATTTGTGATAAGGTGAGGCCTGGGGTTTTATAGAGAAGTTTTCTGACTTTGGATGAGGAAAATAGGGTAGCAATAGTGTCGGGGTCGATCTGGTCGTTGATGTTGTCCACAAACGGCGAAGGATATGGCTTTTGCCACCTTGAAAATTAACAAAGGCGGCGGGAGAAGCAGAGATTAAGGACAGCAAGTTCTCTAGTGGCCCAAGATTCTCAAAAATGTGAAGCCAGAGCTCGAGTGGGAGGCCGGGTAGGTCATTGGAGGACGGCGGAGTCGACATGGTTAATGGTGAAGCCATCGTGAAGCATCAATAGGTTGCATGAGAAGAAAGACTGCGAGGAAAGGGAGAAAGAATAGAGATGAAGAGAGTTCGAGGAGGAGAGGGCTTTTACCCTCATTCAAACTCTAGAAAATTACTTAAGCACTGTAATTTGGTAGATGTTCGGGATGAAAGTAGTTCCAATTGAAGTTTAACTTTATAGTATTTTGCCAAGAAGTCTTTAACTTTTCCAGATAAAGGTGATACCTTGATGACGAATAAGTCAATAAACCAAGAGAAACATACATCTATGCCAGAATGGTGGTCAATGGAGAGTTCTTCCCAACATTTGCAGAATGAGATGACATAAAACGACAATTGTGTCCAACCCTTAGTGTGGTCTGATTCTTGAGACATTTGGCATGGGCAATATCCCTGGCGGTGCTGAGGGTCGTCTTACGCAGATCATCAAGGCCGCTGTTGAGCGTGGCATTGTCGTTGTCAATATCAGCCAATGTGTTAATGGCTTTGTATTTCCTATTTGTAATGAGATAGTGAATGATTATTGTCCCTAAACCCTGCTCAAGAAATACATATAGAATCTTCCCTCAGATTTATTGCAGCACCATTCCAAGAATTTATGCTGACCTAGGGGAGATAAGAAAACTCAGGGCCGTGATCCTAAATGACAAAAAGACTTAGGTAAGTTTGCATAAATTTAGACTAAATTTAGGATACCTTTTGCTGAGTTTACCCTATGTACATTTAAGTCGGGTGTTTTCTTGCTCCCTGACAACGCTCGAGGGTTGTCATACTGGTGCCAGAGAATTGAAGCTGAACCACCAATCATATCCGAGTCTTCGCCTTGGATGGTTACTCCACTAGGATCTGGCTGACGCCAGCCAGACACACTATCCTGGAAACATTGCCTGCAGATCGTAAGAGATCCACAAAAGTGACAGTTGTAAGAAGAATATAAAAGGACCAAGGGAGTCCTTGGAATTAACTATCCGCATTATCCTACCATTCGATCTTATACACTGTTTCCATTCATAAACTCTTAGTCACCACCATGGTACAACACTCCCCCAAGACTACGGTTCACCAGCTCGCACTAGAGTATGCACCCATCATCAAGGGCAAGACTATCCTCACAACAGGCGCAAGCCCAGGTGGTCTGGGTGCACTCTTTGTTGAAGCTGTTGCTGTCGCAGAACCCGGGCTAGCTATTCTAGCTGGTCGTAGTGTTAGCAAGCTCCAGCAAACTGCGGACAATCTTGCTGCCAAGTACCCGAATCTCAAGATGAGACTTCTGACTATTGATCTTGGTTCTCTTCGTTCTGTGCGTGCAGCTGCAAAACAGGTCAATGAATGGTCAGATATTCCCAAGATCGACGTCTTGGTTAATAATGCAGGCATCATGGCGACGGAGTTTAAGCTCACAGAGGACGGCTTCGAAAATCAATTCGCTTCGAACCATCTGGGCCACTTCTTGTTTACAAATCTGATTATGGATAAGATCCTTGCCTCAGAGACGCCTCGAGTGGTCAGCGTTTCCAGCAATGGCCACCGCCTGGGGCCCATCCGATGGGGTGACCCCAATTTCAGTGTAAGCTTTCACGACACTTTATCAAGAAGTCATTGCTAAGTATCATATAGAATGGCGAAAGATACAACAAGTGGAGTGCATACGGGCAGTCGAAAACCGCAAACATGCTCTTTGCCATCTCCCTTGCTGAGAAACTCGGTAGTCGTGGACTGCAAGCGTTCTCTCTCCATCCTGGTGTCATCCGCGGTACCTCACTGGCCAAGCATCTTGATTCTTTGGATAGTCTGGGTAAGCACCTAACCGGTAACCCCCAAAGACTATCAAGCTAACGAATATAGTCGAAGCTGATCGTGCAATGGGAGACCCCTGGGGTTGGGTAGATTGGTCGACAGTCCCAGTTTCCTTCGAGATCGGTGCTGCAACACACGCGTTTGCGGCTTTCGATCCTGATCTCAAGGGTTAGTGGAACTCGAATGCTCTCAGATTCATTCATACTGATCTTTATAGAACATAACGGCGCATATCTGCTCCAATGCCGCTTAGCAGATCCTATGACTGATACAGTCAGACCATGGGCGACTAGTTCAACAGAAGCAGAGCTTCTTTGGAGGAAGAGTGAAGAGATGGTTGGTCAAAAGTTTGCTTTCTAGATCAGCAATGAATATGATTACTTGTTTTGCTCTGTAATAACCCCGAATTTGTTTGCCAAGTTATTCGCCTTTGTATAGTCTTACCGTGTTGTTGTCTTGCTCATGGAACTCGTTGGTGACTTACAAAACGTGTTAATCGGGATAGTCGGCAATTCACAACGGCCCATAATAGCTTCACAACGTCTGATGGCAGAATCTTACGGAGCCGCAACCTTGATAGACTCGGGAAACAACTTCTTTGGTGTAGTTCGCACTAAAATTGTCCCCTGCCTCTCACCCCGGTACATCAGCCCACCAGTACAGCCTCACAAAAAAAGCTGTTCCGCGGATGCCGCTCAAGTGCCGGCCTCCATTTTATGGGTATAACAGTTTATTTTTACAGTATAGGAACAGTCGAAAAGGTAAGGGTAGTGCAAAGGAGTGATCAATAGTTAATCACACCTGATTACAACCTCAGCTTTTCTAACAAATCCTAAGCAGCCTGTTCTGTTCTATTATCATGCAAGGTCTAATTTCTTCACTACTATAGAAAACTAAACAAGCCAAGAAAGGCTAACTTTGAAAACCTTATAATTGATGGGAAATTATGGTAAAAGGCCCGATTGTTCAGATACTAGAATCGGCATTTGCCTAGCCGTTGGGAAAGCCGTAACTCTTGTTCACCAGCATTAGCTCCCTTCGTGATAGCTTCAGAGTTCAGGGAGGTCAATTCATCAAAAAGGCCATTCTAAATAATGGGATAAATATGGCTTGCGGAATCAAAAGTTCCCATTGAAAGCCAATTTTCTCCTGCTAGTTAGCGTGGATAATCCGGCGTGAGTTCCTGTTACAGGATAGAAAGTTGGGTCAATAAGCGAATTAAATCAGCGAAAAAGACAGCTAAACGAAGACTTGACTGCAATAGCCTGGGTCTCTATCTATACCTTGCCAACCTTGTGTGCTCTGCTGTCCAATTAGGAATGGACAACGGACTGCATGTCTATCTGGAAGGGACTTATATATTATCGTCTTATCCGACTTCGTGTTCAACTTAAACAAACTTCACTAACCGCAAGGCCTGCTGACATGGGCCTTGTCTATGATATTGGACCAGATGCTGAGATACCAATAGTATGTAAAACGTGGCCGTCAACACGAGAAATTGACTTTCATACACCATGAGTTTACTTACTTAGGTAGATCAAAAAGTCAAGCAAACTCAATACGTTTCGGAACTGATGATCAAAGAGGGAAATGAATCGTGATATCATGATTCTGGCACTGCTAGCATTCATTCTACTGTACACCTTGTTGTCCGAATAGTGCTATAAAGAGGCAGACAGTTCCCTCAGAAATCAATCTTTCCTCATCGTCACCAGCCTTCAGTCTTTTCCAGGCAATCTACAAGACATCTTTACCAAATATCAAATCTCAATCAGGAAATATGCGTCCTCAATCAACCGCAAGCATGCTCGTGGGACTCCTCCTCTCTGGAATGGTCTCGTCAGCTGCTGTCTCGAACCCCAAAGAGGATCTCACCGCCCGGGACCAGGTAGTCGATAGTACTGGACTGACCCCCCTTACCTTCAATCTCGACGAGATCTCGGTTGCAACTCCCGGTCAGACTGTGCATGACTGCTACCCCGATGAAGAAGGGTGCAAGGAAAAGGCAAAGGTACTCTCCAGAGCTACCCCTGCAACACGCAGCATTTGCGCCTCAGGCCAGACCTATACCCGATCTGAATGCCTCAAGTCCAACATCCTCACGGTCTACTGCCGAGATGGAAATGGCCGGGTCTGGGGCAAATGGGTTGTCTGCGAGGCAACCGAAATCTGCGTTCAAAACGACCTGGATCCTCCCTACGCCACATGCAAGCCAGTCATAGATCTTGTGCTTTGGTATACCAACTCAGCTGGTGGATCCACGGTGAGCGAGAAATATATCCATTCGACCAAGAAGCAGTCTACCAGCAGAGTGGGAAACATGTACTTCGACAGGAATGGGAACTACATCAAGCTCTTCCAGACAGATTTCTATCGCGAGCCTGGAAATTTCTTTGTTGGCGAGACTCTCAACGCCAACAGGGCTTATTCTCAATCAGTCAACTGGGCGAACACGGACAATGTGAAGATCGATGTCAAGACTGGTGGAGATGGAGGTATTTCTGTTTATACCTTCTTGACCTAGTGTCAAGTCGGCAATAAAACTGCAAAGGCGCTGTTTGCGCTCGCGGCCCAGCATCTCCAGTTCCCGACAATTGGCTGCAACTTCACAAGTTGCAGAGAAATGGAGAAGCTAGATGGTGCAGGCCAGCAGAGCTTCTTACAATAGAGATACGTGTGTCTTAAGTCGAGATTTCTAGGGCCCAAGGTCGAGAATTATTCCATTCATTGCACTCTGAAGACTTTCCCGGTGCTGGCCACGGAAATGCAAACTATTATTGATAGATTACAAATCTAGGGGCATTAGCAAAGTTCATAATATATACACTGTTCAATATACTTTATGAAGATATCTTTAGATTATAGTAAACGGAACCTTCTTATTCCTCGAGGTCAGTGTCAGAACAGAGGCTGAGTTGTTGCAGACGTGAAGCGAGAAGATTCTTGGTAAAGAAGTATCTTGTTAAACCAGCCGGAGGACTTGAGCTTGTTTGAATGTTCAGAATAAATATAATATCTTCTAACTAGCACGCTAAATATTGAAAAGCAATCTTCTTGTTTCCTTCCTGTTTCTTTTGTACTTTCTTCCATGTGTAACTTCCAAAGAAATTGAAAGGGAAGAACCGTCCTGGCGTGGCTTCTAAACCTCCATGAAGTAGATCAAAGTCACTTCCCCAGATGGCAACCTCTTCTATCCAGAGATCATCCTCTACCGTAATCTCAAGCCAGTGAGATCATATGCTGTCCACCCTTGTTGGCCTAATCTTTTCAGACTTTCCGGATATCTGGCGCTTAGTAAATGTACAGCTTGTAAGGCTATAGCTGAGGAAGCCAGAGAGAAGCATCATGTTGCTGTCCTACAGTTCTGTGCGAGAGGTTGTTGGCAGCAGCCAATAGATTCTTAAATGTCCACTATTGGGTGCGGGTTCTGATTCACCGCATAGAGTGGATAAGAAATACCCGATCTAAGGTAGCCATATTCTTTGAGAAGGCTGCCAAACTTGGGTCATGTCACGAGCATCTAAGCACCGGACCATGTCTCGTGGTGATTTCCTAGTGAGATTATATTAGCCTTGTCCAGATTCATGAGAAAGCGTAATTTACCCTTCAGAAGATGTCTAATAGGCTCTGACTTGAGATCAAATCCATGAGCACCAAAACTATCCAGCTGTGCTTCCGAGAAGCAAGTAGGAAGGTCAGTACCTCCGATATACTTGAGATATTCCAAAGTGGCACTCAAGCAAGGTAAGTGAGCATCAGCCTTCAGACCTTCAAGCACAATGTCTTTGAGCGACGGCCAAGACTTCTTGATCTCGTTCGGCACCCCAGGTCTGCATAGAGGATGCACATCAGAGCCCTCAGCATATGCAACATCAAGGATGTCAAAGATGTAATCAGACTTGATGATGCAGCCAGCTCTCCAGATATTCAAGACGCGTGTCATGTCAACACCCCAGCCTTCTTGTCGGTTCTTGCGTTCCATGACATCGAACCCTTGGATGAAGCACGCCAGACTTGTGACGTAGACAGCTTGTCGTAATTGTTCAAGAATATGGGCTCGCCTCTCGGGTGTGACTGTGAAAGGTTGTGGAGAGACGGTTCCGATGGAAGCCTTGACGGCACTCCTTTGCTCGACTTCGGCTGAGGCAAGTCGTAGGTAATGGGCGGCGGTTAGACTCGGAGCAGGGACGTGAGAAGCGACAGCCTCAATGTTGGCCCAGACTCCAGTGCCCTCTGAATCGTTGGCATCCTGGACAACAGCATCTCTGATTTGGTGCAAGAGAGAGCCGCCGTCGACAGGGCTTCGGGTTCTGCAGATAGGGCCGCTGATCGATACGAGGAAGTTGCCTTTCTGTATCACGAACGGTTAGCAAGCTCACATATCATCAGCGGTTTGACTTACCAGTTCTCCCTTCTCACACCAAGAGTCAAACACGTCGCCAATCTCGTCACCAGTCATCTTCAAGCACTTGTCCATAATCTCCCATGCTTCGCAGAGACTGGACATGACTCCATGCTCAATGCCATTATGGATCATCTTCACAAAGTGGCCACTCCCGCCAGTGCCAATATTGGTTACACAAGGACGACCTTGGTCATCCTTGGCCGCGATCCTAGAGAGAAGGGGAAGAACTTGCTCAACAGCCCATTTCTCACCACCAGGCATAAGCGATGGGCCATATCTAGCTCCAAAGCTACCACCTGAGATTCCAAGTCCGATATATGCAACACCAAGAGGACGAAGAATCTCCTGTCTTGCTTGTGTGCGTTCGTAGTTTTCATTCGAAGCGTCAATGAGGATGTCGCCTTTTGAGACACGTGATTTGAGTTGGGCAACGACACTATCGCCAGGACGGCCATTCGGTAAGCTGAAGATAAAGACTTTGGGGGAGCCAAGTCCTTGACAGAGGGTATCGTAGTCCTCGCAGATGTGGATCCGTTTCGATAGTCCAGCGGCCTCCGCGTTCTTCGCGACCTTATCGAGACTTGCTCGTGATGTATCAACAATAGACACGTCGAGACCCTTTTCTGCGAAAAGGAGGGAGACGGCACCCCCCATGGTGCCTGCTCCAATGATACCGACCTAGTGGATGCATGCATTAGTGACATTGGAGATGGGTAGTGTTGGTCTGGGGTAATTACCTTGGTAATCTCCATTTTGAGTTGTTAATGTCAGAATATGTAGTTGATCAAGAGGAAGTGATTAAATCTGGAGGCTTGTCCGTTGAGGATACGGAATTGTCTACGTTTCATAGCACGTCCAATCGAGGATTTAAATACACGAGAATTCCTCAAGAATCACCTGTAACAATCAAGCTGATGTGAGCCATGATGCTGCACCGCCTCAAGTTTCACATGACAAGGTCGACAGTCAACTATCTAAAAGGCGCATATGATCCTCGAAATCAGGGAAACTTCAAACTATGAACGATAATAAGGAACGTTCGTGACGATGTCCCACGAAGAGGTCGACAGTCAACTTGAATAGCGCCCGATGGATCATGACTCGGCCATGCGGAATCTCCGAATTTTCATGCCGTTCGAAGCCGCAGACCCCCACGGGGATCGAGAGCGATAGACCTGTAGCGTGGAGAAAGTTCATTTGGTCGACAAGTGCGTGGAGAAAGAGCCTCATTGAACTTCTCTCCCCTACCAAGACTCTAGTTACGTATCGTGTCCCACTGTCAGGCTGACTGTCGACCGCGCACAAGCCAAACTACCGGCACTAAAAGCCCCATCCTAGCAAAAGGGTCCATGTTCCGATTGGTAGCTGACAGTCAGCCTTTCTCCATAGCTAGCTTTTTTCGTGACTAGTCTAGAATTGGTAAGTGGCCTCCGAATTTCTCCAAGTTATGTTGAACATGGGGTTGGAACTAGAGAATTGCTCGTGTGAAGCTGAAACTCCAAGATGGATGGAGTTGGCCGATGAAGGCACCTTATGAATTGACATAAATACTTTTCATCCGTTCCCCATACCCCAGAAAGTAGCTTAATTCCCCAAACCCCAGAGGATCATCACTCATCTGGAGTTCCATCCAACTTTATCTCCTCTCCTCTTCTTATCTTATCAGGACCTCGTTTGTGGTTTTTTCTCGCCATCATGACCAACGAGATCACCAACTCGACTGCCATCAGCGCAGCTCGGGCTGAGAAGCCATCCTTCGAGACAAAGGAAAACCTCGAGAGTTTTGTTCCTCACAGCGATCGTCTCGCCCTTGCCCGAACAATGGATTCCGAAACTCGTGCTCGAGTTGAGAAACGTCTCAAACTCAAGCTCGATGCTCGTTGCGCTCTCTTCGTTCTGATTTACATTATGAACTATCTCGATCGAAACAACATCGCTGCTGCTCGCCTCAAAGGCTTGCAAGATGACCTTAAGCTGGACGATAATGAGTATGCCACATGTCTCAGTATCCTCTATGTTGGTTACATCCTTATGCAAGTCCCTTCCAACATGTTCATCAACAAGATCCAACGACCCTCATTATATCTCGGTGCCATCATGCTTCTCTGGGGATTGATTTCAACCCTCTCAGGAAACGTCCATAACTTTACCGGAATGGTTGTCATCCGTTTCTTCCTCGGTTTCACTGAAGCTGCTTTCCTACCCGGAGCGTTGCTTATCCTTTCCAAGTGGTATACCCGCCGGGAACTCACAAAGAGAAATGCTGTCCTCTTTTGTGGTAACTTGATCTCCAATGCATTTTCAGCTCTTATTGCAGCGGGAGTGTTATCTGAGATGGATGGCGTCCTCGGGCATGCTTCCTGGCGCTGGCTTTTCTGGAGTAAGTTTTCCATCTGTTCCAAGAAAGAACATAGCTAACAATGAACAGTCGAGGGTGCCATTACCATGTTCATCGCCATTCTGGCTGTCTTCATCTTGCCTGACCTTCCCAGCAACACTCGCGGTTTCTCTGCAGAGGAGCTCGCAGTAGCTCAGCTCCGAATGATCGAGGATGTTGGTGAGGCTGATGAGGATGCTGAGGGCCAAGGAGCTGTTGCCGGATTGATGATGGCTCTCAAGGATGGCAAGATCTATGTCATGATGCTTACTTTTGCCGTCTACGTTGTCGGTCTGTCTTTCAACGCCTTCTTCGTAAGACTTCCTCTTATCACTTGTATCTTTTCCAAATGCTGACATTCTATAGCCATCTCTCACCAGCACCCTCGGTTTTGCTTACGTACCAACTCTCCTCATGAGCTCACCACCTTGGCTCTTTGCATGCATCGTTTCTCTTATCGTTGCCTGGAGTTCTGATAGAACACAGGAGAAGGTATGCTCATCATAGACTCATATTACCGTTGCTCTCCATACTAATCATTCTAAAAGTTCTGGCACATTGTTGGTCCTATCTGCATTGGATTAGTCGGATTCATCATCAGCATGTCGACACTCAACGTTGCTGCACGATACCTTGCTCTCTTCCTCCAAGCATCTTCTTACGCTGGGTACGTCGCTCTTCTAAACTTATCAGTCCACCAAACAAAAACCCACTAACGTCAAATTTTAGATACATTGTCTTC